AAACTATTCAAACATATTAGAGAATAAGATGTTAATCATCTTAAACGAGATAAAACTCCTACCCCATAATAATTCAATCAATATGTAGGGACTTTGCCTTGGAGAGATAGAGGCGTACTTGTTGACAATCCGAGTACTTGAGCTCTTCTCTTAAGACGATGCAAAGACTATTTTCCTACAATTTGTGGTGGTTAAATCAAGTAATCTCCCTTAAAATGACAACTCATCTTTTCTCCTAAAATCAATCAATCAACTACCTTTATCCCGTAGGAACTTTGACCACAGTCAAAGAACTCCTCAAACCCTTTAGGGGGAACTACAGATACTTTGATTCCACTCCCGTCAGGATATGTAGGCATAAGATGCGATATCTTATCGAGTATACTTAGAAATAAACCCCTAGGTCTTTCACCTTTAAGCAGATAAACCTTAGCAATAAAAAACATAAAACAAGAGGTTCCTGTAGAGTACTACAGAAACTTAGAATGCTAGCACCTTCCCTAAGTTTAACCAACCCTCGAACCTATAACTCTCTAGCTTGCATTTGCATTGCATTGTGGGTAATTCGATCTTTTTCCCTTCCTTTGGACAAATTAAAGTTCGGTTGCAAATGAATTAAGATTCAAGCTCATCAATAGCTTGGTATCCAAATTTCACCGCGACACTTGGATATTATGTTTTTAATGTGGCTGAAGGACTGCAAATTAAAAGAAGAAAAACCTTCAGGGAGGCATTTGAAAACAGGTGGAGTCAAGGGTGGTTGAAAAATCATAGTTGTAGGCTTGTTAAATTACCTAGGCAGAAAAGGGTAATTAGGAACAAGTGGATTCAAGTTGCGAGATCAAGATTCAAGGGTTGCTTTGAATTTGATCAAAGTTATTGATTAAAGTTTCAACTTGGTAGAAAGCAGCAATGTTGTTGATTGTTAAATTGGTATCAACACGGTTTAAAGTCAAGGTGGAGATTGTTGTAAATTCTCATTAAAACCTTTGTTGATGAAATGAAAGAAAACATATTTTGCATATTGCATTTACCGCAAAAATTGGATGAAAAGTCGAGAAAAGGGGGGAAAATTGGTCGGTGAATAGTGTTGTTCGTACGATGAATAGCGATATCCGTACAGATGAATAGTAACGTCCATACGGTAAATAGTATTTTCGTGTTTTCATACTTTTTTTTATTCGGTCCATGGATCCATGTGATTTTGGGCTTTGTTTGTTGGGTATTTGATATTATAAATATGTATCTCTTATACGCTTGTTGTGTGACAATCTTAGAGTTTTCACCAACAAGGGAGACCAAGGGTTTAAAGGTATAACATAGGGTTTTAGCTATGCACAAAGAAAACTTTGGATTAGACATTGGGTTTGAGTGATTCATATATTGAGAGTTGGAGAGGTAGAGAAACACTTGGTTAGAAAATAGGGTTGTTCTTGGGTGCCTTCAGGGTTGTTCTTGGGAACGTGGAGGCAAAGGCTATTTTCTTATAACTCATCTATAATCTCTTGTAACAACTTTCTAAGTATAGTGAATTGGAGAGCTGCTCTCTCCCCTAGAGTAGATCGTCTGGGTAAATAAACCTTCGGTTTTTTCTTGTCTTATTTTATTATATTATCTGTGTACGGACTACTATTGCTGAAGACCATTTATTTTGGTTGCTATTGTTCTTTGACTCACAAAGTGATATTGAATTTTGTCGTAATTCACAACAAGATTCACAACAAGTTTAGATATTTGTAGGTTAAGTAGCAGCAATGGTGTCCCCTTTCTTCCACAAACATTACTCAGCAAGGTCACTTTGATCTTGATCACTTTGTTCTCTATTTAGTGTGACTCGTTTTCTATTCATAAGTAAGGTAATAATTACACTGAAAAAGAAATAGGCATCAACAAAATTCATTAATCAAAGACTAAGCAGGACAAAATTTGGGGTATAGCACATTTTTGTAGCTCCCTTCTTCAACTTGATTGGTATAAAAGGAAATCAACAAAACTAAATAAAAACAAAATAGCCTGCTAGACTAGAAACTATTATCAGGGCGGCAGGAGTCATGAAGCCTCGCCCAAGTGGTCCTCATCTCTGCTCGGAGGTTGGCTAAGGCCTGATCTTGCTCGGAAAAGTAGGTATCCATGGAAGCTGAAGTAGGAAACCTTTACCTTAGGTTTTGGACCGGCATATAATCTCTATGATCATCATAAAAGCTCTGGTACCCAGGTTTAAACCTCGGTGGGTCAATCTACATATTAGGTGATGCATGCAGGAATAAGTCGACAGCTCCGAAAGAATAAGTTTTTTAGCTTCTGCAGTGGGAACCAATTTTTCAATGCATGTATACAACCCATTTATTACCTCGAAGTCATATTCAATAAAAGGGTTGGTGTAAAAGAGTTTTTGGTTCATAAGTGGTCAGCTGCATGAAATGTACGATGAAATTGACAAGTCCATCTATCATCAATAATTTTAAAAATTCCTTATATTTGCTTTCATCAATCTCAAAAGATTTCATGATATTTTCTTTAGACTTATTCATTGCCTCATAAATACAACCTATGGTTGGTTTCTTATCGCTATCAACAAGGCGAAGCACCTTTACAAGAGGGAGTCGTCACCTTGAGTGTATACACTATATTATTCAAAAAAGATGTCATCGCTACAACTTTTGTTGTTTTTTTTCCCTTTGCCCTCCTTGGGCAATTCGTTATTTGTCCATTCAATGAATACAAACATTTTTCTCATATTTGATTTCTTCTTCTTAAGCCTTTCCAATGTAATAAAAGATGTTGCAAATCGAGTTACTACGTGCCTCACTAATTCCCTTTTGTTGGTGTAAAACCTCAATAGGCTCAAGGTACTTGAATGGTTGTAGATAAATCTAACAATAAATATTTCCCTTTGACCTGTCTTCTTTATAAGAGGGAGATTTCCAATGTTCTCCAACATCAAATATATGCAATGAACTGCACAAGGAGTCCAATATAAGTGTGGCATTTTATCTTGGAGTAATTTTCCATCAAGCACATAGTTGCTTCCATTGTCTGTTATAACTCGAACAAGCTTTTCTTCTTCAATCTCATCCATCACAGCATCGAGCAACTCAAATATTTCCTCTCATGTCTTGACAATGTCAGACGCTTCAACAGATTTAATGAACATTGTCCCTACTGGAGAGTTCACCATAAAGTATATTATGGATCTACATTTTCTGTCATTCCATCCATCTGACATAATGGAGCATCCAAATCGTCCTCAATGGTCTCATTGGCCTTTTAACAACTCCTAACTCTTTGTTGAGAAGTGTAACTCTTATCTCGTGGTAAGATGGAGCCTTCAAGTGTCTTCAAAAGTTCCAACAATAGTGAGCATGTCTTGAAAGCTTTCTAACTTAACCATGTTGAAAGATAAACCTGCTTAGTACCAAAAACGGGTTGTGTATTGATGAACCTGTACAGTAAGTTCCTTGTCACATGCAACCTTTATGTTAGTTTACCTTAAATTCTCTTTCTTTTTACTTTGAATTGCAGTCTCAAGTTTCCAAAAAAAGAGATCAATGGGGCCATTGAATGAAGTTCTATAGACCCTTGATCAATGGCAGCTTCTTTATCACTATCACCACAACCATCAAGCATAACGAGCTTCACTCTTTGGAAAACTTCATTTTCTTGCTTTTTTTTATTCTTAGCATGCTGATACAATTCTTCTCTGGCCTCTTTTGACATTTAAGACAAGGCCTGCAATTACCCCTTTTTCCCATCAAGTGTTCTTTTAGTCTGGTGATTCCTCCCCCAAATTGTCTGGGCACAAAATTTGCAAATACAACCACTTGTAGAATTTTCATATAATGGTTGACAGAATTTTCATCCAATATTTGTCCTTAAGGAAGGATTTGATGTTTCTCCCCCACTTTCCATACTATTAATGAATGTACAAAAATAGAGGAACAAATAAAAACACACAACACATAACTTATAAAAGAACTAGTTTGAAAAAATTAGAGGAACAAATAAAAGAAACCAAAAATCTAGAGAACAAAAGATAAAAAATAAATCATCTAAAAAAAGAATTACCTGAAGAGAATTCAGGTGAAAAAGTATAAAATCTTAAAGAAATAAAAAATAGCGGTCGAAGAATTGAAGACGATCAAAGAATGAATTAAATGGACAAATGAACAGATAGGTATATAATATATAATAAAAGACACCGACTCAGTATGAAAGAAGAGGAAGAATGATTATATTTATATAATACTATTCACCGACTCAATAACCCACATTTTTCTATTTCAATGTTTTCACCTCTTTAGATTCTACTTTTCCACCTCTTCACTTTATTCTCTTTAATATTTCCACCTTTTTCCCTTACCCTCTCTCTTTAATGTTTTTAAAAATAATTTATTATAAAAAAAATATGACTTTCGATATTTCATTCATAATCAATATATTAGTATATTGGAAGATCGTCGATATTACGAATATCGCAAAATTAAAATGTTATATCAACTTTCGTATCACATAGTCAAAATTCTGAGACACACTACAGGTATACAACTGCTATATACACTTAGCTACAGGTTAAATAAAATACAAGTGCTATATACACTTACCTACGGGTTAAATAAAATTGTTTTTTCAATTGTATCAAAGGTGAAACATCACAATTTTATAGACATGTAGCGATTAGAACTAAGCACATTGCTTCATTAATGAATTGACAAGTATTGTCTTAATCACAAGTTACAAAACAAAAATTGACTTAAGGTGGAATTTTATTAGAAAGGTTAGAGAATCTCAATTTTTGGCCCATCCTAATTATAAAATTTTCAATTGAATTTCATGCGTCACCAAACAAAGTCCAGCCAGTGCAACAAGAAGCCACAACTTTTGATGATCATTCCAAAGATACCTTTGGAAAAGTATCAAAATTTCTTATACTATATATTCCAAATTAAACTCCACTAACCAGAAAATTTCCTCAAAACTTAAGTAATTTGTTACATTACATTATGATTTTCAATTCTTCTAAGTATATTTCCTCATTTCCAGAATCACTTTTACCAAACGACGCATCACCCGAATGGAACAACAAAGCAGACAATGCATGGCAACTAACAGCAGCAACGTTAGTGGGCCTGCAAAGTGTTCCTGGGCTTGTAATACTTTATGGCAGCATGGTTAAGAAAAAATGGGCCGTAAACTCAGCGTTTATGGGCCTATATGCATTTTCCGCCGTGTTAGTTTGTTGGGTTTTATGGGCCCATCAAATGGCATTTGGGAACAAGCTTTTGCCTTTTGTTGGAAAGCCCAATTTTGCATTGAATGAGAAGTTCCTGCTTTCAGAGGCACCAACAAACTATTATTTACCAATGGCTGACTTTGTTTTTTACCAATTTGCTTTTGCTGCAATTACTCTTGTGCTGCTTGCAGGGTCATTGCTTGGGAGAATGAATTTCTATGCATGGATGTTGTTTGTACCCATGTGGCTTACATTGTCTTACACTGTTGGTGCTTTTACTATATGGGGGAATGGCTTTCTTGAGGGGAAAATAATTGATTATGCTGGGGGATTTGTTATTCATCTTTCCTCTGGTGTTGCAGGTTTCACAGCTGCTTATTGGGTAATTGATTATAAGTAATATATTAGTAATAATTGTTGAAGATGAGTGCTTAATAAAATGTTGTTAAATGATAGGTTGGTCCAAGAAGTTCAAATGATAGGAAAAAGTTTCCACCAAATAACATAATTCACATGCTTGGAGGTGCAGGGTTCTTATGGATGGGTTGGACAGGTTTTAATGGTGGAGCACCATTTCAGGTTGGAGAGATTACATCCTTGGCAATATTCAACACTCATCTGTGCACTGCCACAAGCATACTTGTTTGGCTTTCTCTGGATATGTTTGTGTACAAGAAAGGCTCATTGATAGGTTCTGTCCAAGGAATGATCACTGGTCTAGTTTGCATCACACCGGGTGCAGGTAAAGCTCACATAAGCCACACATTAAATAGTTGCACTTAGAGTGCATTGCACACCCTAAACGACTGACCTGTTGCTGTCATACTAGTTTGGCAATAATTTTACCTATGAATGTTGAACAGGATTGGTGGATCCATGGGCTGCAATATTGATGGGAGCTTTATCTGGTTCAATCCCATGGTACACAATGATGGTATTGCACAAAAGATCATCATTTTTTCAAAGTGTAGATGATACATTAGGAGTCTTTCACACTCATGCGGTGGCTGGTATTCTTGGTGGAATCCTTTCTGGTATCTTTGCCAAACCCAGTCTTTTGAAGATGCTCTATGGGCCTGAAACTTCTTATGGGCCTGGCTTATTCTACAGTTATTGTGATGGTAATGTGAACCAAGGAATCAAGCAAATATTGTACCAATTACTAGGAGCATTTTTTATCACTCTTTGGAATGTTGTTATTACTAGTCTCGTTTGTATTATTGTAAGTCTCACTATGGATCTTCGAATGCAAGAGGAAGATCTTGAAGTTGGTGATGATGCTGCTCATGGAGAAGAAGCTTATGTTCTATGGGGTGATGGAGAAAAAAGGATACTCCCTCTTCGTATACATATAAATTCTCCAACAATTATTTCTATTTCTCACCAAAGACATCCAATTCCTATCAATAAAATTGATGAATAATCTTTTTTATTGTGGGAGTGTTAAGTGTGAGTAAAATGTCATATATTTGATGAAAATGTGTCAGGTAACATATAAATGAAAAAAAGATTGATATAATTGATGAAAATGCGGTCTCGAAACCATTCTTAATGAAAGAGACTCGTAGAGCAATGGAAAAAAGTTGTTCTAAATACCATTATTGTATACTCATCTCGTTTATGTTACATTTAGTGTTGAGTTAATGGGCATATGTTGAAGTTAACATAGTAAGTGAAAGAGGACTTACATATTCAATACTTTAAGCTGTTCTTCCAGCCCTTACTTGTTGGTCTGGAATTATAAAATCGAAAACCTCCAAAATGCATCATGAAAGTGAAGCTCAAAATCAAACATGAAGTCAAAGAATGTCAAGAATTAAGCTTAAACTTGAAACAATTTTTTGTCTAATAATAGATCAATTAATCTAAAATATTCAGCATAATGGTAGATCAGCATTATAAACATTTTTTAAGCTGAAAGCCAAAAACTACAACCAAAGACTTACTACCTTCCTTTCACATATCTTTTGCATATATGATATATCTTTTGCAAATCTCATAAAAAGACAAATGTAGACAACAGAGTAAGCAAGCTTTAACCAGGTAGAGAAGTAAAATGTAGACAGCTGTATATAAGTTCATATCTGTAGTTACCTTCCTTTTACTGCGTGAGGAGGTATACTGTTTATTAAGTATGAATATCACTTAGAGGTAGTATCACAACTAAAAGCCGGATTATGAAAATATTGATCCAATTGATCTTAAGGGTTTGCATTATCTACAGTCGTGAAACAAAGTCATCTGATCACCACTTCAATATGTTTGCATTATCTATTGTCAAGAAACAAAATCATTGATCATCACTTTGTTTTTTGAGCACGCACTGACAGGATCTTCAAAAATATTATCAAATCTAATTTACAACACCATTGAAACCTTTTTTGATTCAAATGAACTGGAACCTTTTTTGATTCATCTCTTCAAGCAGAATTTAGTGTGAATTTTCAACAGGCGTGTCTATCTTGTCTTGAATCTATCACTCATAAGTGTATTTTTTATTTATTAAGGAAACCACCTTACTGAATTCAAACAATTGGTACTTGCCAGTATCAATTAATTCGTAGCATAGTGCAGCTTATGCAAATTAGGAAATAGATCACCTTTTCACCTTCTCTTCAGCCATCCCTCCTGTGCTTCATCTAATGGCTGAGAATTGATAAGAAAAATTAAATAAACAAAAAGATGTTGTTTTGAAAACTGAGAAAGAAAATAGATGAATGGCTAAGATGATGGCTGAATGGGCAGCAGCAGATAAAACCACGCATCCCAGATCTTGTAAATTAATGATCATCTCCAAGGACAAAGATGTGATGTGACTATCAGTTCTTGATAACTAGTATCAGTTATTCAACACGGTTAGATTGTGTAACCCTTTGTCCAACATTTCCTAGTTCCTACAAAATGGCATCAGATAGAGTGCGGGCTTCTTTACCCATTATCCTATCTAAGCTTACCAAGGTCTCAAAAATCTGTGTTGTTAATGGATGAGCCTCATCATTTACCCCAAATTTGTTATGACCGGATTCCAGCTCTACCGAGCTATAACCAATTGGCTTCTTGATTTCTTTCTCCCTGATTACTTTCCTCAATCTGGCTGCATCCTGCCACCGACCTTCATCTTCGTACATCTGTGCTAGAATCACATAACGCCCAGCATTGTTAGGGTCTAAAACAAACAACTTCTCTGCAGCCAATTCAGCAAGTTCCAAATTCTTGTGTATTCTACAAGCACCCAACAAGGCACCATAAACATTTTTTCCTGGTTTGATAGGCATAGATTGAATAAACTCCACTGCTTTTTCCAGATCACCGGCTCTTCCCAATAGATCCACGATGCAAGCATAATGAGCCTCTCTTTTCACAACACCATAAGTTTCCATGGTCTGGAAAAGGTGCCAGCCCTGTTCATGCATGCCTGCATGACTGCAAGCCGATAACAAACACAAAAACACAATGTCGTCCGGATGCAAGCCAGAATCAACTAGTTGATGGAACATACTGAGCGCCTCCTGCGCAAAACCATGCATCCCATAGCACCTAATAATTGCATTCCAAACAATGACATTTCTATCCGGTATCTTGTCAAAAACAGCTCTTGCTATGGTTATATAGCCACAATTTGAGTATAATGTTATAAGACCACAACCAACAGCAGGATCAAGTTTCATCCCTGTCTTAACAATATAACAATGAACCCAATATCCTGCATGAATATCTGCTTTCTCGGCAAATGCAGGAAGAACAGTTACAAGGGTGGCATTATCAGGAAAACCAATATCATCATCTCTCAACATATCATAGAATAGCATTACAGCATCATCCACATACCCATTTGTGATATATCCCGACATAATGGAATTCCAACTAACAACATCTCTGTTAGGCATTTCGTCAAACACTTTTCTTGCCGCTTCAATCTCCTGACACTTTGCATAAAACGCAATAAGGGCATTACCAACGAACAAATCAAAGTCCAATCCACACTTCACAGCATGCCCATGAACAATTCGCCCCTTTATATAAGCCCTCTCGGCACTACAAGCCTTCAGCACAAAAGGGTAAGTGTAGCGGTTCGGAGTAGCACCACACAAAAGCATGTCATCATAAACGTTTAAGGCTTCCACGAAAGGACCCATATTAGCGTAACCCTTGATGACAACGTTCCAACAGAAAACATCTCTTTGGGACAAATTGTCGAACACTTTGCGTGCCTGTTCAACATTGGACCCGCCAAGGTGTGAATATTTATCAATTAGTTTAGCAGCGATAAATGGGTCTTGTTCGTGGCCTCCAATAACGATTTGGGCGTGTGTTTTTTTAATGCAGTCAGTGGTTTTGCAATGATGTAGTAGGTCGGTGTAATGAAATGAGGTTTCGTGGGGTTTTGGTCCCAAAAGTTGGTGCAGTTTTCGTGATACGCGGCGCATTGAAACTCATTGAGGTGTTTGGAATGTTTGGTGATGTTGTTTGTAAACTAGCTACTGATTTTGAAGTCTGCAGTGTTTAGGTGCGCATTGCAGATGAGACAAAATGAATGCGGTTTTTTTTTATAAATGAAAGGGCCTAGAACCAGTGTGGAGAAAACTATACAGAAAGCAAGCGGGGTGCTAAACCCAGCAACGTAAGCTAAAAGTACAGTGAACTTTTTTTTGTCACATCTTAAACCTTTTACATAAACTTATAATTTTGATAAAAATGTTTTTGTCATTATAAAATTTGGAAGTTATTTTTGAAGTTAGTGAACAGCTACAACAAACATAAACGCTTCAAAAATCAAATGAAATTGAACTCACTTTCTCTAGACTATAATAATAAGTGTCAATAATTAAAAATAGGGGAAATTGAACTCACTTTGTCTATACTATATTAAAATAAAATAAGAAGACATGTTTGGAATGAATTTTGGAAGATTCATAATTAATTTTAGAGGTGTAGAATTGATTTTTTTGGTAATTTTGAAGTATTTGTTTTATCAAAAGTATAATTGATTCTACTTGAAGCTAGAATTTGTAGTTTTTATCTCCAGAATTGATTCTGGATTATTTTTACACTAAAATTTATTGTTTAATTTACTTTTACATAAATATATTCAAACATAAATCAATTCTGATAAACTTAATTTTGTTTAAATCAACTTTACCAAAATACATGTTTTCTAATTTTAAAATAGACATTAATTTTTCATAAATTATCATCAAATAGATGAATACTTTTATTTCTCATTAACGCACAACTGACCGAAATTTTAGTGATAATATAAATAGGGTAATGCTAACTTGTGCCCTAAGGGCACATGTTAAGAAATCCATAAATAAAAATTTTGTATTGGAAAAAGTAATAAAAGAATTAATTATAAACTTTAAATAAAAACAATATACAAGTTTCAAAAAAATATTTCTACATTTAGTTCTTAACATGTGCCCCTAGGGCATAAGTTAGCATTACCCATATAAAAAATGTAGATATAGATAGGGTGATAAAACGGGTATGATTTATTGGACATGTTTGTTTTGTGTGCACTTTAATGCGGGACGGATCAATGGTTTAAACATGCATCCTCTAATGTTTCTGTTCCGCCCTGCTCTATTTTTTTCGGGATTTTGCAGGACATGGATTTTAACATAAATTTTGTATTTTTAGAGTTAAAATGGACCATGTCTGTGGGCCTGCTCCGCCCCACCCTCAATTTTAGTGTGGGGTCGGTCAAGGTTTTAAGACATATACCCTCAATTATGCCTTCCCGACCCTGTCCCATTTTTTTGTGGGCTTTTGCTGAGCAGGGCTAAACAGGGCGGGCATATCAGTTTGCCACCCCTAGGTATAAATACATTTACATACGTTTTTTTATGCAAAGAGATGTTAGTATCTATTTTTAAACTATAGGGAGGCGAATGTAATTTTCTCTTAAAAATGTCAACTAAACATAGATAAGATCATAAGTCAAACAAACTAACTACTTTTTTATCGGGATGAACCATGCACACAATGATTTCATCAAATGCTCTGTGACGAATTAATGTTGAATGGATCTGACTAAAAATGCATCAAACTTTATTAGTCTATAGATAATATATTGATCAAATATTGAGAGTGTGGTTTCATATCATTCTCGTTTTGAAGTTTCATATTGAAAAAGCAAAGACATCTACCATTGTCGATTAATGGATAATGATACTCAAGACTTACCACCATTTTTAATAGGGAGCATGCCCTACTTCTCACCTTTATTTATACTCGATTTATAAGGTTTTAGTTAGGTCCATAGAATCTTCTCTCATGGACATCTATCTCAGGGGAAATATATTCTCAAATCTTGATTTATAATTATTTAATGATTAAGATTATTTCGCAGAGTATTTGGGTCTTTCACTTCATGGATTGTCCCTTTTATTGGGCCTTCGTAGATTGGACATTGATCCAATTTGAAACACGTATAAAAAAGCCGAGAATGTATATGTTTTTTGAAAAAATCTAAGGGTCTGCTTGGCTCAGGGTAGATAGAATTAAGGGAATGGAAGAGAATATTTCTATTTAAATATGTTCGGTTCAAATTTTATGAGTGGAGCAAAACCCCTCAAAAGTGAAGGTGAGAAAAATACAATAAGAGGTGTTGAATTATGTTAGTTTTTTCTTTCTTTTATCTAAATATTTTATCATATTTTAAACTCAAAGTCTAGAATCTGATACTTAGTTAAGAGTTTGTATCGGATAAAATAAGCTTAAAGTTAGAAAGGGAGAGAGAGAAAGAGATAGAGAGAGGGGGGGAGACACACACACAAGCGGATTTATCTTGGTTCCTCCCATGACACACAAGTATTTAAGAACAATAGTTGTTAATTAATTAACAAGTTGACCTAAGAGTCTGAGGTTTGTAAGCTCATCTTGAGTCTAATAGTTCAAAAGATGAAGTTTGTAAGCTCCTTATAAAATCTACCTAGGTTAATTAAATTTGACCATTAAAGAATAAAAAAATTAATTCTTTAGTTTTAAGCAAGTAAAAGGTTCTTAACTATCAGGTTCAAGTGCTTAAATACTTACTTATTTTACTCTCATGTTTGTCATCAACAAAAAACATAAAGAATAAAGGAAGTAAGGAAAGATATTGTAGAAAATTTTTATAAAACCAAGATGATAGTCAGATTGACACAAATATTAAACAGAGTAAAAAACAATAGAGACCAATAAAGGCTCTAAGTCCAAAAGTCTATGGTTTCTTTAAAATCTCCAGGATGGTTTTGATGTCAGAACCTGTGTCAATTTTCCTAGCAACCATTGTCTTCAACTGAGCTTCCATGTCTTCTTGATTAGCAACAACTGACTGAAGTTGAGATCTTATAGCCTCTTGGTTGGCAGCAATAGAAGCCTAGCCTCTAGTTGCTCTTTCCTCTGATTGGAAAAAGCTACATACTCATAATAGAAATTCTTCAAATTTTGCAAAAGTGTATCCATATAGGTACTAAAAGTATCACACTTAATAACATATGTTACAGAGACAGATGTTGTGAGTCTCTCAACAACCATATCTTGTACCCTATCATAGGTGACAGTTTAAAATTCTTCCATTTGGGTTGTTATGTGAGGTGAGGGGCTCAAATTGTAAGTTGGTTGAAATGGTGGAGGGATGGCATCTAGTTCAAGTTGGGATAGGTATTCAGAAAATAAAAGTACTACCATGTTAGCTTTTGACTTTGTATTCTTTTCAAGGGGTATAAGGGTGTTTAGATTGTGTAGGTTGTGAGATTTGTGTTACATGAGAGTGTATTTGAGGTTAGAATTCTGGTAACTATGAGTCATAAGTTTATGGTTCATGTTAGGGTTCAAATTCAAGTTTTGATTGAGGTTCAGGTTCAACAATATTGATTGGGTTTAGAATGACTTGTTCAGATTCAACTTCAGGTTGAAGTTGAGGTTGAACAAGTGTTATGTCTTCTAGTTGGGTATATTCAGATGTAGTGATTTCTAAGGGTAGTTCTTGAATAGGTGTGACATATATATGGTTAAAGTCTAATTCATCAAAACCAGAGCTTGAGCTTAAGGGTGAAGGCGTGGTTATTTCAGGATCTTCTAGCATGGTTTCTATGGGTTGATCAGAATCAATCAAGGTGTTAAGAGGGGTAGGTTGTTCAAATTTAGAGATACACATTAGTTGGTTATTTTCATATGGATTTTCTGAAGATAACTCGCCAACTAGGTGCCTTGACAGTTCATCTATAACAGATGATGTCTGAAAAATGTGTATAATCTAAGCAATGTTAAGGGAGTCTGAATCATCAGATGGTTAGGAGAAGGCGTGACAGTTTCTAAAGAAAGAGACATGTCATGTTTAGGTGGGGTGTTGTTTAGATGATTGTGTGGGTGAATGATGAGGGGGTGATGTTTTGGTTATGGAAGAATTTAAAAATGAATCTGAGATAGAATCCAGAATCATACATGTGTTCTCAGCTTCTACAGTAGGTTCTAATGAGGCTTTTACAACATTCTTTAGTTGTCATACTCCAAATTTGTCATATCTTGTATATATTTTTCATCTGTACATCCACCCATTAACCATTACTCAAAAAATCCAAAAAAAATGAGTATGTTGCTTATGTTCCTGGTCCAAATTCAGGATATCACATGGTTTTACTGATTTGAATTGAGTATCATTTAAAGGTTATCAGTTTGAATGTGTGGATTTAATGATGGTTGAAGATCAGTTAGGTCTGACCTAATCTTGGTCAGATAAGTTTTGTTGTAAGATAAATGCTTGAGTGATTGATTCAAGTGGTATGGTTTGGAGCTTTTCATTAGGTTTTTTACCTATTCGAGTCGTCTGTGTGTGATTCAGGCTATCAAGTTATGATAAGTGCAGATGTTTCATGGTTGAGGATCATCAAAGATCAGTATATTTGCAATAAGGGTTTTGGGCAGTCCAGTTCATAATTTCAAGTCATATTCCTCTTATTTCAAGGAACTTGTTTTGATCATCTGGTTTACAGTAAAGGATTTGGTTTATCAGTATTCTAGTGGTAAAATTCAGATGAATTCATGGTGATTCAAAACTCCAATTCATTCACAGTTCAAAGATTAATTCGGTGGTGGTTTTCATTTTGATTCATTTCAAGTCTAAGAGAAATTCATGATCAATTTTACCTTCAAGGATCCATTCAAGTTTTATTCAGGTGTAAGTTCAAAAACAAAAGAGCAGAATTTGGTTGTATGGTTCAAATTTAAAGTGAGGTGCAACTAACATTGTTATTTCAAAGCCCATGTCCATTTGTTCTTATTAAGATTTCAAAGTTCAAAAGGCTATAAAAGAATATGGTCTAATAATAAGTCAAAAGCCCATGATTCAAGTTTTTTTGTGGAGCCCATTATTTTTTTTATTATGTTACAAGCCCATTACATATTACAAAAATTCCAAAAAAATATTACATTCCAAAGGCAC